CCTCTACTCTTACCGGCCACGTTTCATTGCCATAAAGTAGGACGGAACGAACTGCTGCGCAGTAAACCCGTCCTTTGGTTGATAGACGGCAAAAGCTAGTCGAGCCTTCTGTATCCGTGCTGAGATTTCGTCACACAACAGACCACAAGTGCTGATGAGACTTCCAAGATAAGTGAAGCGGTCGACACGCTCAACTACTTCACTCCCTATCACTAGTTCGGGTGTCGATGCAACCCAATCCTGAAGCAACATTTTGCATTTCGAGGAGGAGAATCGCATGCCGAACATGCTTGCATTGTTGCTTAGAGTGGTCAGAAGACTGCATTTTGTGAGCGTCTTCGCCAAATAAAACTATGTCATCTGCATATTCTAAGTCAACAAGTGAACCTCCTGGTAGGAGTTCAACCCCTGGAAATTTAGATGAGGAAAGTGTTATCTCTGAAAGCACGTCAACGACAAAGTTAAACAAGAATGGAGAGAGTGGACAGCCCTGACGAACACCACTTGAGGAAACCAAATCTGATGACAGTTCGCCATAAGCTCTCACTCGACCAGTTGTGTTCGAGTAGAGAGCCTTTATAAGGTTAATGTACTTCTTTGTTACTCCTTTCAATGAAAAACACTGCCATGGAACCTCACGATCAACAGAGTCAAATGCCGCTTCAAGGTCGAGAAATACTGCGATTGTGGGGCGTCTGAATGTGTGTCTGTGTTCTAGAACCTGACGTAGTGTGAATAAATGGTCTATACAACCACGTCCAGGTCGAAAACCAGCCTGATTTTCTCTAGTCTGTTCTTCACGAGCTTTGGTTAGTCGTCGAAGTATTATTGAAGCTAACATTTCAGACACTATATTAGTCAAACTGATTCCTCTGTAATTGTCACAAGAGCACTTTTTTCCTTTCTTATAGACTGGCACAATCAGTGATTGAGACCAGCCAGATGGGATTACGTCCAGTTCCCAAATTCTACCTAAGACCTCAGTTAATCTCACTGTTATTGCTGGACCACCATCCTTAAAAATCTCAGGAGTAAACCTGTCAGGGCCTGCTGCTCTCCCTCGCTTCAGATTTCCTATGGCTTTTTCAACTTCGTAAAGAGTCGGAGGACCTACGTTAACTTTCCATTCAGGTTGACTGGAGATCGTGGGAAACCGAAGTGTGGCTGAAGGCCAGTTGAACGGATCCCTAAAGTGTTCTGCCCATCGATCCAATCTCCTGGATTGAGAGTGAATAATATGTCCATCTTTCTCTGAGATTGTTTCGCTAACAGTCGGTTTCTTAATACCGGTTTCTTTAACGAGTTTGAACAGTTGTCTGCTATTACCTATTGTCACTGCCTTTTCCATGTCTCCTGCTTTCGCTACCCACTACTGTTCACGATCATACGTAGGCTTCTTGTCAGCTTGCGCTTACGCTGACTCCACTCTTCGTTATGTTCAGAGTCAGGCGGAATGAGTTTTCGAGTATCTATCAGTGCGATAGATGCTGCTGATATCCAGTGTTGCTCCCTAACCTTACGGTTTACCGTACTAGCAGATATCATTGCTGTTTTCACAGCTTTTCGGATATCATTCCATGCTGCGTTGGAGTAGGCACCTTTCAAATGTGCGAATAGTTAACTAACCCAAAACGTAGCTCTACAACTGCTTGTTGCTTGGCAGTGTTTCGCTGCATTCATACTTTCCGTATAGTGTTTTAGTTATGTTTTGATGGTAATTGTTTTGAATATTTTCAGATTAGTTCTAATGTTTTAAGTAACAACTTAGTATTTTATGGGTAACATAAGCAATATATTCTATGTAGTATATATCGTGTGTTGTTTATAAATAACCAAGTAAAACGTGTCTTTCCTGTTTAAGCTTTTTATAGCTATACAAACATTTGTTTATTTGTCTATAATTATAAAAATTCGATACTACACAATTGTTCAGTGTATACTTAATTTTACTTTGTTGATTCTTTAGATTATTAAGGCTTCCTTTAATATTTATTGAAGGTTATAAATAATACTGATCAACTTTCAGAACTATTTTTAGAGTAACAAATATTTCTAATTTCTGGATTTTCTCACTAATTATGTCATCAACCCTTATTAACCCAAGTTTGTATGAGGAAAAAAAAGGAATTCGTCCAAAATTCTACTTCAATTATCATTTTTGAAAGTTGTTTTGCAATGTTTCTTTCCATATCACTCTATGGCTGTGAGATATCCTCTGTGAAAATAGAAGGTATTCGTAAGCTGTAAACATTTTAATATAGGTTTCTTAAGAAAATTGTTCGCTTTTAGTGGAACTACCGAGTGAGCACCATCGATGTTAGTTATAAGGTGTTAATCAAAAGTGAGACTGAATCTTCGTCGATCTAGATGGATGAGACACAAGCTATTACGCATACACAACCAATTCCCACCTCAACACACAAGGTTGATCGGTGCAAGAATGGGTTGGAAGGAAACTCGAGACAGTCAAACCAGGATATGGCATAAACATCGGTGGTTGAACCGAGCCGTGCTTTCAGGTGCAGAATATATGCCGGGATTCACCCGATTAGAACTGTACGACATAACAAAGAAACTCTCTGAAAAGAATCATAAACCAGAACGACCACTGAAAAGCAAGAAAGGCAAGGTAATCAACAACATTGGAGAACAACGAAACAGGTGGGTATAACACTTCAAAGAACTCTTGAATCGACCAGCCCCACTGAACCCATCTAATATCGAAGCAGCACCCACGGACCTCCCAATCAATGTCGGCCCACCGACAATTGAATAAATCAGCATGGCCATCAGAAAAATCAAGAGTAGCAAAGCAGCAGGACCAGACAACATTCCAGCAGAGGCATTGAAAGCAGACGTAGCGGTAACTGCAAGGATACTCCACACTCTCTTCAATGAGGTGTCAGGTAAGGTTACTTACTTTCACCCTTTCTCTTTCTCCTGGTGATCAACTGGATCATGAAAACATCAACATCTGAAGGAAAGCACGGGATACAGTGGACATCTAGGATGCAGTAAGACGATCTAGACTTCGCGGATGATCTGGCCTTTCTATCGCAAACGCAAAAACAAATGCAGGAGAAAACGACCAGTGTAGCAGCAGTAGGTCTCCACATACACAAAGGGAAAAACAAGATTCTCTGATACAACACAGCACGCACCAATCCAGTCACAATTGACGGAGACGATTTGGAAGATGTAAAAACCTTTACATATTTGGGCAGCATCATTGATGAACATGGTGGATCTGATGCAGATGTGAAGGCGCGGATCGGCAAAGCAAGAGCAGTATATCTACGACTGAAGGACATCTGGAACTCAAAACAACTGTCAACCAACACCAAGGTCAGAATTTTCAATACAAATGTCAAGACAGTTCTACTATATGGGGCAGAAACCTGGAGAACTACGAAAGCTATCATCCAGAAAATACAGGTGTTTATCAACAGTTGTCTACGCAAAATACTTCAGATCCATTGGCCGGACACTATTAGCAACAACGTACTGTGGGAGAGAACAAACCAGATCCCAGCGGAGTAAGAAATCAGGAAGAAGCGCTGGAAGTGGATAGGACACGAATCGAGGAAAGCACCGAACTGCGTCACAAGACAAGCCCTCACATGGAATCCTCAAGGCCAAAGGAAAAGAAGAAGACCAAAGAACAAATTACGCCGGGAAATGGAGTTAGACATGAGAAAAATGAACAAGAATTGGATGGAACCAGAAAAGAAGGCTCAGGACAGAGTGGGTTGGAGAATGCTGGTCGGCGGCCTATAACTCCAGGAGTAACAGGCGTAAGTAAGTAAGTTCACTCAATTATCGTAAGCAATAATGGGAGACGATAATTGACATGGCTTAGAATCGGTATCAAGGGATCAGATGCATTGGCTCTTTATCTACCTCAAAATCTTAAACCTCAGTATTATTTCGCATGTTTTATTCTTCGAATTCATCTCTCCTTTCCTACTCTTACTTTGCGGTCCTTAATCTTTTTCACTATCATCTATCATTTTAACTCTTTGCTAATCGTCTCGCTGTCCCAGTCTGTAGGTTGTTTATGATTGATTGACTCAACGGTTGCTTATGAAAACGGTGAACTTTTTGGTTATAATCCTCACGAATTAGAGATTACGAGAGGTTGGTAACTGTGTAATTTGACTTACAAATTTGCGTAAAACGACATCGTTGATTGTATCATGCCTATTTACCAACTACCCCAACTGGCTGTCTAATATGATAATATGAATAAGTTGAAAACATTATCTAAGTGACTAGATAAAGAAATGGTATCGATTGGCCTACATTTTACTTTCCTGTGGATGTTAATAGCTGCTTTCACCTTTGTTTACCACTATTTTTTATCAGCATTTTCACTTCCATTTTCAAATTGTTCATTCTATTGTTATGAAATTAATTTAAAATATATCAATAAAGATTAGTACACAGATGTTCTCAGGAAATACATTACGTTTTCTATACGAATATTCGTCAAGATTAGAACGAATAGTTTGACAGTAATTGAGCGCCGAGTATAGAGAAGTCATTATATGTGAAAATTATATTTGAAATATTCTCAGCGATTGAAATATAACTAATTCCAACGTTTCGTCCAGCTAACTTGTCTGGACTTCTTCAGGGTAATAATCAAAATCAAAATTATCAAAGAAATATATAGCTTTTAACAATCAGGATTATACTGTGTTAAACCAATCATATTTGGTTTAACACAGTATAATCCTGATTGTTAAAAGCTATATATTTCTTTGATAATTTTGATTTTGATTATTACCCTGAAGAAGTCCAGACAAGTTAGCTGGACGAAACGTTGGAATTAGTTATATTTCAATCGCTGAGAATATTTCAAATATAATTTTCACACATTACGTTTTCATTTGTCTATTTAATTGTTTTGCTCATTTTATAAGTATTGGTTAAATTCTACATTACTTTACTTATCCATTTTTATTCTTTTATTTTACTTTTCGTTTTATTTCATTAAGATTCATTCGGAATATCGTTCAAATCAAGATGCTTATCTAATTCAGTTGGAAAATTTAATTGCTCAATTGCCAGTGGTCAATTATACTCTACTCAAGCATTTATGCCAATTTTTACACCGTGTTTCTGTTTACCAATCTGATAATAAAATGTCGATTGAATCATTAGGTATTGTATTCGGACCTAATGTTTTTCGATTTACACCTGAAAACTTGGTAAGTTTTTATTAGAATGACTATTGGGATTTTCTGTTTAAATGATGTGACTTTTCCGGCATTAGTGGAGTAGGTAGGGTAAACTTGACTATTATTTCACAGACTTTCCCCTCGGAATTCAAGTTTCATATATATAGATACGTAGCCAGTGCAGCAGGAACTGAGGTTACAGTAACTTCACTTCACAACATTTGGGATACATCTATTTCATACCCTTGAAAATAATCTTTATCTGTAGTAATTTATGTATATATATCCTACTGGCTGTCAGATACGAATCAGTTGCTCAGCACTTTCTAATCTTCGATTATATTCAAGTTATCTCGATCAAATTACAATCCTTTGATTGTTCAAATACTCAAACCAATAGAATCAATGATCTTAGTGATAGTATTATTAGACTGAGAGTAAAAATTGAAAATAAGATTCACAATCTCATTCACTAAAGTGCATGTATATATATATATATATATATATATATATATATATATATATATATATATGCAAATAATTTCGATTATTCTGTTTATCTGGCATAATATAAAGAAAAATTTTTTTGTTTGACGTCTTTAATACATTTAAATGTATTTGGATAGAGTGTTATCTTTTGACTATTGATGTGTAAAACGGTTACAGTTCTTGTTCTAGTATTCATTTGTGTTAGTTTCTAAATTATTGATTGCACTGTATTATACATATAAATGTTGGTATTATTATGATCAATACAATTGGTAAAATTTTAATAGTATTGTGCTCTCTGAACTAGAAACTTTCATTGTAGGGTAATGGATTTATCGTCGTTCTGGACAATATTGACATCGCCTAATTTATGTAGAAGTGAGCTTTTCATCTTTGTTTCATCAGTACGTTCTAATGGCCTTGTCGGTGTCTGGTTGTCTTCATTTATTTTCGTATTCTTGTTGACTATTGCTTTCAGTTAACTCTTGACCTTGTGACTCATTGTCGTCTTCCGTATAGGGTGATAGATCTGGTCTATATTAATGTGTTAACCGTTTACCAACGAATCTGAATGTCTTCTAGTTTTTTAGAATTCTTTGATATTATTCTTGTCTTCTCGATCCTGAATTTAGACTTTTTCGATCACATTCATGCTCATGCGTGTTGATATCAGTGATAACAATATCATATTGTTTCAATTCTAGTTAATGTTTGCGAATACACAGGCGAAGGGGGTATCCAATTTGTCCAATATAATATACACTCTATGCTAATTTCTATATCTGTACTTGTCCAGTCATTTATACGTGTATAGCTGTAATCCTAATCTCATTACAATAATGTTTTTGACTCCTGTTAACAGTATAAATTTTATGGTAATTAATAACAAAAGCCAATAAATAGAATATTTCTAGTTTCAGGGCTTCGGGATTATTATCCTGTAATCAACCAATACCAGATTAATTCACCACCAAGTATTTTGGTCTAAAGTAATCTTATATTCTTCAATCGATAGACTGAATCTATTGAGTTTATGTTCCTGGCTCTGGTTATCTCACAATCTTCTTTTATGAAGCGAAAATACACTATACCTACTACTTTTTTTTCTCACAACTCATATATATATATATATAACTGTAGTTGTACTGAAGAATGGACATGCGTATATATTAAAGAAAGATAAGCGTTATTACTATTTGTGTTTGGGTGCAGATATCATTAAGTGTAATAACGATGATGTGAGAATAATTTCAAAATAAATAAAGTTTATTAATTTTAGGATAAATAATTAAATTAGTAAATAATAACAGTAAATTTTAATGACAGAATAGCCGTAATAATCATAGATACTAATATAAATAATAGAATTCTTTTTTTCAATTTATTTCTCATTTATAAACTGATAATTTCATTCTATAGAAAAGTAGATGGATAGATACTCTACGTGGGAATATTTTTTTTTCATTTAATACATAGAATTCCAATTAGTACAATTGATTAGCTAGCATTATTATTATTATTATTATTATTATTATTATTATTATTATTATTATTATTACTATTATTGATTTGTAATATTTACTGATCGTTTCACTAACTCATTAGTTATAATGTATGACTATCCTTTTATGAATGATTTTTTAATAAAAAAACTGTTTTAATCATTGTAACTACTTTATTCAATAACTAATTGGTCTTTAAAACCTGATCAAATTAAAATAATCTCTTAGCCAGTCAATAATTGTTAATATATATTTATATATAGTCTAGGACAAATGTACGTCAGTTAGTACATCAGCTACATACATCACATTAACACAACACAATATCAGTAAATAGTTGTGAAGATTGTTGAGTTTTTTAACACTATTTGACGAGGGCTCAGTAGTTTATAGTTTGTGTCTGTGTGTGAAACCGAAAGTCCCGAGTTAGAGTCTCGTATACGGGATCGTGAGTATGCACTTTTGAAAAGTTCCATGCTAGGACGAAACGGACATCTGAATACTTCCAGGTTTCCAATATTGGTCTGACATTGATCAGTTGATGATCTCAATAAAAGCATAAATGAAACTAACGAGACGAATAACAAAATGAGTCAGAACAATGGTTAGTGTCAATAATGTTAAAAATGAATAGAAATGGAAGAATATCGTTCGGAAAGAAGGATTGAAACTTGGATAGAAATGATGTGAAATGTTTGATATTCATTATCTAAGCTAAGATAAAAAGTGAATACTTCTGGTTTACTGTAACTGATTGTACACTATGTTGCGTTATCTAAATTTCCAAACTGTTGTTCACAGTTATCGCTTAGACTTCAACTAGGTAGTTTGTACGCACCAATACAGTTGAATTTGATAGTCGATGGTCTGTAAATGATTTGATCATGAAAATTAACAAAACAATTTACTAACCAAAGATCTTTTACTACTCTGATTAGTCTGTCGTAATTATTTGCCTATTCAAAAAATATGGGTGGATTGTCGATATGATAAAAAATTCACTCAAACAATTGGTCGTTTCACAATTTTCATGACAGTATGATACAAGACTGAGCAAAGCGAGATCGGTGACTGACTAAGCATTTTTATTTTGTAGACTACGGTCAGTAGAGCCCTGAATAAATAACACAAATTGGCTAGTATCACTCACACTATATCGAATCAGATTCTATTTCAACTTTAATTATTTCTGTGTTCAAAAATCAATGTGACGTAATCAATACACCATTTTGTACAATAGTCCGTCATTTAATAGGAAATATTTTGACTACGTTTGACCTATGGGAATGCTCAAACCCTATCGTTCGCTTGTGTAATATGGCCACTAAACTTAGTCTCTTGACGTTGATGCACTTTTGTTTGTTGAGTAGTGCTACTTTCCCCACTATAGGACGAATTAACTGTCCAATGCTTCTTAATTTTCTGTGGTAACCAAACTGAGATTAATCTTTAACAAATACAACATGCAAATTAAGCCATTCTACACAAAACCTTTCTAATTGATCTATTGTTCCATTCACTTGTATTGTAGAGTTTCTTTAAAAAAGTTTTTTAAAAACATATGCATAGATAAAAATCATCCATGTTTCATCTTTCAATTAATTTAGAAGTTTTAGTTCTCTGCTAATCCTTTAACATAGAATAAATTAAAATCAGTATTCTGAACTGTTCTTTTTTCTCTATAATTTATTAATTTCATGTTTTTATTCTTTATTGTTTTAATTATACTTCACTCAATAATTTCCACCATTTTCTTGCGTTTGTTTGCTTGTTTAAATTATTTTTGTTTCAACCTAACCACCAATAGATCAGTTTATTTTTACTGAACACGTTAGATGACAATTTTTTAGATTTATTTTTCTTTTAAGGGAAAACAAAATCAGATAAAGTTGCCATCATTCTCATTTAGTAGAGTACGGAGAATATGGTCTTACCCCCCCCCCCCCAAATGCCATGGTACGACCGAGGGTGGGGAGAGTTAGCTCTCCCTCTCGAGATGATCTCTCATGGCTACGCGCATACAACCACTGCCTTCTCGTAGCAGAAGTGTCGTTTACGAAATTGAGAAGACGAAAGCGAATGTCCGGCACTTTAACCAGGTTAGTGGACACAGAGGATCCACCTAGGGGAGTTGGAAAACCCTGATTCCGAATCAATACTGCATATGGGCTCCAGTATCCTGAAGGAACAAATGGTGTGTGAACCAATCGTTGGTCACTGGCTACTATGGGAGTGAATCTCCTGACGTTGCTCCACTGCCTTGTGGATCAGACCTTTAGGTCGAAGGGTGTATGTGTGTGGCCTCTTTAGAAAACCACCAGCTTCGGTTTGGGCAGCCGGGTAGTATCACAGCCCACACACAAATCAAGTGACTTGTGTGGTGCATATGTATTTGGTGTCCCTTTGTACTAATATTTATGTGTTCAAATCAATAAATAAGATGGCCTGTATTTTTCCCTTCATATGATGAATATTGAGGTTAATTTAGTTGAGAATTAAATGAATCTCTAATTTTATTATTTTTTCATGTTGCAATATATGTTCACCTGAATGGTCGAGTATGTAGTGGCTGGTACCATATCAATCCCACATAGGTTGTTTTAGTTTCTGGATAGATCAGTTTATGCACTTTTCTCAAGCCACATTTTGAACTTGTTGATTATTCACTTATTAACCCTGACTGTTTTTATTTGGTCGTATGCGCGTTATGTGTCTGCAACTTATTTTTGGTCTGACCATGAATATTAAATAATGCTTGGTCTAAAGGAGTTTGCTCACTTGCCTTCTCATCGCTTCATTTTACATTATCCACTTCATTTCTCTAATTGCCCGACTGTATCAACGAGTATATGAAACATACAAATCGAAAATTCATTCTCATATTTGGCTTTTTTTTATTCCGTTATTGTCTAAATCGATAATTATATACAAGGGTTAGAGATATGTATATTTCGATAACAATCATCATACAATATATTAGGAGTCAGAAATAGGGCCACTAAAAGTATCATTCATACAATCTTATGACGCATTCTCTTTGCCTATCTCTAATTTATTTATTACCTATTTATTCTCCATCTATTTCTCTTATTTCTTCATGTTCCTTCCCCTTTGTTTTGTGATTTATATGAATTGATAATATTTGTTGTTACAGCAATTCTATTATGTTGTTTATTGATTTGTTAAGGTTTTGTTTTTTTATTAAAAAATAATTTACAATACAACGTACATTATTTTACGTATACTGTATATTAATCATAGACATATATATGCCTACTGTGAAGAGCTATTCTAGTGCGTTTTAATCTAGCAGTGCTAGTTGTGTGTGTTTGTGTGTTTCTATGTGTTTAGTTAGTTGATTCACCTATTCATTCATTAATTTTTGTTGATTTGGGATTCGATCGAATTGATTGCATTATTATACACCTATCCGTTTTGGAAATTGAAAATTTGGTTTGCTTATATATGTGCATATATGTATGTATGTGTGCTAGTAACCTGACAAAACCTCTTTGTTTTATTGTATTACTCTTGAAATGAATAACAACTGATAATTGATCTTTAATTTCTACTGACTTAGTTCTTTTTTTTCTTCATAGTTTGATTTGTAAAAAAGTCTGTTTATAGTTATTTTTAAGGTAATTTACTTTGAGATTATGAATTACAAACCAAGGCATCATTGTGCAGTAATTTTTTATTATTCTAATCGGGGGCTCAGTAGTATATGCAACACAAACACATACTAAATACAGTATGGAATCGGTCCGTAGTGAATACTGCTGAACTATTTCGAATGAAGATAAAACAACTATACATATGCTGTTATTACTTGTTTCTTTCCACTGGTGCTTTTTCTGTTGATGTCATTTTGTAGTGAATACTTTTTTGGTATGTTACTAGTAGTATCAATTTTAAGCATACTGAGAGAGATTCTCGTTTGTCTGGTTTCAATGAGAAAACAAGATGTTCGAATTCACCGCATGTACTGTGTTTGAACGTTAATGTACGAGATGCGATTTATTACAGTGTAAGTGGTTTTAAAAAACTACATTATTTAGCGAATATTTGCCACATATATTTTTCATCTATACATCAACTGGGGAAAATATTCGTTAATTTACTTTAGTATAGGGGGATTTAGAGGTAGTTAAATCTTAGTCTCGGAACATAAACCGACTTTAGTCAAACAACCATTAAAATCCAGAAGGTGCTACACAGCTGTTTCGTCCTAGTATAAAATCTCGTCATCTTTGTACATCCATGACCCTACTAGTTTTCAACAGGTTAGGCTCTCACTGCGAATCCTAAAAGTCCTGGATTCGATCTCTAGTGGGGTTGTGCATATACACTGGTTGTGAGTTTCAAACTATGATGAAACAGCTATTAAATAGACCTTGGTTTCCAATGGTTGTCCGACTAAGGTCAGTTCGTGATGCAAAACTACAATTATTGATAGTTGTTTTGAAATTTTTCAATGTAGTAACTTTGAATCTTTAATTAAATAATTGTATGTATTAGCCTTATGTTTGTTCGTTTTTCATGACATTGTAGTTATCACCTTCATTCTTATGAGATACTTATTGTTATGCAATCACTGTTAGTCAGTTGGATGATTCTCAATAAGGTTTTGTGTTTGCTTCTTATCATCATTGTGATGTATCTCAAATCGTTTTGTCATTCGAATTCATATTTCTTACCAATTCATAATTGATGTAACGTAATAAATAGTTTTACGCGCTGTTTAACAAATTTATCTATAATCACTAACCCTCCTTATTTACTAATAAGCTAATTCAATTCAGTGGTCAAACATACAGGATTTAAGCCACACTCTTGTGCGTTAGAACTACATTTACTGCTTGACTGCTTAAAATTTAGTGAATGTAGGATAACAGTTCAATTTGCAAATTACACTTAATTCCTTAACAGTGAATTACATTTAAATTTAATCACTGATGGTCGTTTCGATGCTAAAAGTAAATATTACCTTATCTATTTAATATTCACTTAGTATTGAACATTTAATAATTGTCTAGTGTATCAGCCTTTTAAAATTCCACTACTGATTTGTATTTATTTTCTGTAAATTCTATAAGGATATGAAGTGCGCTCGAACTGTTTTCAACCTGATCAATACAGTATTGAATTACCTGTTATCATGATCCTTAATTAATTCATTAACACTGAAATATTTTTACGTATTTTTGTGTGTTAGTGATTTTGGTTCCGAGATCTATAGCAAAATAATATTTTGCGGTGCGTTTGTTTGTGTCCAACCTGTTTTCAATGAAAAAATTTGTTCTTCTAGTGAATTTACTCGTCTGTTATTCGTATTTCATTAATACTACCGTTGTTGTCTAATATTTTCTTTTCATTCTAATATAGATGTTTATTTGCTTTCTTTTTACAATCCTAGGGTTATCGAGAACAGAATTCAATCAATCATATCATGGGGATTTTAATTGAACATTCTGACAGTTTATTTCGTATGATTGCACCAAGCTGTGAAAATGTAACAACTTTAAATGACAATTTATCAGACAAAAATTATACACAAATTCAAGCTGTTAGAAATAAAAAGTACGAAGATAAATTTGGGTAAATTGATGACATAACATGTTTATCTATATGTAATAAAATATGCATATTGCATTATACGTATATTAGTGGGTTTGTTTGTTTGTTCATAGTTGATATCTCCATATAGTCAGAGTTTAGAAGGGATAAATATTTGTGATTAATTTTATCTGTATATCAAAAGTTTACTTTGATCAAAGTTATGTGGAGCAACGAAGATAATCATAGTCACAGTTTTGTATTAATTATTTTCACTATGCACAAGTTGAGCAAAGAAATTCTTCCTTTTCAATTAGCTCCTTACCACAGCTCTACACCAGTATGTAGGTTTTATAATTAATTATTAAATTAATACCAAATAAATCTTCCCACTGATATTTACGACTGGATCTGATCGGTCTCTTTCTTGGCATATGTACTTCATGCGTAAATTGCCTCGATATTGTCAGTAATATCACAAACATTCGAAGAAGAGATGGGAGGTGGCTAGCAGCGGAATCCAGGACGCGCGTTTCGTCCTATTTGAGACTTATCAGCTGGATGTACCTGCATTAGCTAGTGGCTATATGAACTCGGTAGCTAAATGGATACCACGATCTCATTTGAAGCGAAAATCACTGGGTTCAAGTCCCAAAGTGAACATCAGCTCTGTAATCCAGGTGCATCTAGCTGATGAGTCCCAAACGGTTTCAGTAGAATGCTATGTTAAACTTTTAAATCTAGCTTTATGTGCATGTGGTGGCCAGGATTGTATAAATGAGACAGAATAGAATTTACGGTTCTTTTGTTTGTTCATCAAACTTGTTAGTTGACGCTCTTTTCCTATTAGCGTTACAAAGTCAATTGTATTACTACACCGATTACTCGATTTGCTCATTAAATATGTAATGTCAATTGATCGATTTCAAACTCACTTTTATAGTCCTTAATTCCTATTTATATTCTTGAGTAATATTTGTGATAGTCAACAAATTATGTAGTTCCAATTTTAATCTTACATTCGTTGATGTATTAACCGATTTAGATCTTCAGAGAAAATATTGGGATACATTATTAAATTGATCGACCATCATTTTCTTGGTACTAATTCTATACTCTGTTTTAAAACCCATATTTCAGGATGTTGAGTCATGACAGCGAGCTAAGTGTAAACAAATATTCCATCGTTTTACTTATTTTTTTAATAAGGATTTGAACAGATTAACATTTTCTTTCATTCGTGTCCGTATTAGCTGTTTATAACTTGTAGTCTATAAACCATCCTGATTCATAGCAATTAATTAATTCATTCATCAGTTACAGTAAACAACTGTTTGAAGAATGTTATGAATGTAATGTAAATGTATGCAAAATTCTGACGATCTATAACTATGCATAAAGCAATTGACTGGAACTAACTTTTATATCACATATCAACTAACCACTTTTCTCACAATTTGAGGAGTACTATTTCAAACTAGTATCAATTCAGAAAGGATCAGAAATGCGTACTTCCTAAAAAAGATTAAAGTATAATGGTTTGTTTATTTTCAATTGAGATTTAGTTATCATTGGTTTTTTGTACTAACTCAATTTCTTAATACAAACGTTCCACAAGATTTGCTTATCCAAAGTCCACTATTCATAGAATATAAATACCATGTTTATTGCAATATTGTTATTTTCATATTTTCAGAATGGGGTTTTGTGGATTTTATAGTAATTTAATAGTTGAATTCATGGGTTGATTTAAGCTAGACCACCATTGGATTGGTTGAAGTTAGACACTAACACCGTTAGATGCTGGCTCAGTGGTCTAGAGGTTTGGTGTTCGCGCGCGAGATCGAAGGTCTTGGGTTCAACTCTTGTATGCGGGATCGTGGATACGCACTGCTAAGGAGTCCCATACTAGGACGAAACGGTCGTCTATTCCTTCCAAGTTTTCAATAGTGGTCTAGCCTAAATCGACTCATGAATTCAACTTCTAAATTTTCGTATTTGTTTGGAAAAAGGTGGAAAGAATCGGCAAAATTGAACTTATTCTTTTGATAATCAGTCTAGATATTTTATTCATTAGGTATTTTTCTAAAATATTTTTGTTTGTGATATTTCTTTACTGTCTTATTTAAATGCTTCCATTTCACTTAATAAATTTTGTTACATCTCGTACTATTCATCACTTACTATCAATTAACTGAATCCGTTGCTCATCTTCGTATTTGAAACACCATTTTACACCTTTAATTTACTAAACTTCTATTTTGTAAAATATATTATCAAAACGGTACAACAAATTATATGGCTTAAATGAGATTATTCATATAAACTTTTGTGTTAATTTTGTGCAATATTTTTTGTATTTTAACCATGATTAGAGGTAGGAATTATAGAGGGGGGTTGAATATGAATACAGTGATCTTGGATGCTGTTAGAGGTATGAGGGCAGTTAACACTTCCCGGTTGTCCAGCCCGTGGAAGGGTTCTTCTGGAGGTATCTGAAAAGGAAATTGGATTAGCGGTGGTCTTAGTGACCTGAGAGCGTGACCGCAGTGCCCAAGGGACAACTGCTTGAGGTCGGTCACACACGACCTTTTTATGAGTAATTTTTGTGTTAGCTCTGTACTTGTTGAGACCTTAACGTCGGAGACGGATATCCGTGGGACAAGGTGAGATGTGCATTTTTAGGGTCGAACTTTTCTAACCCCATCCCTTTTTGTGAGAAAGCAGCATCGATGTCATGCTGGTTGTCTGAAGGAAACACCTTACTGCTGTCACACCTCTGTACAGTCAACAGTTTGACTTCGCCCTCAGACCTTGGGTTTGCTGCTTTTAGTTTTACTGTTCTTCAACTGACCTGTCTGGCATTGTAGGACCTTGAGGAACAGTTGTTCCAGCCAGTATAGCTCAATTGGTTGATCACGATAGGCAAACCCGACCACCAGGTCAAGGTAGCAACAACGGTCGGGTTAACTATGATTACCTTTAGAGATGTCTATATGTATTGAATTGCACATACTTTCAGTGTAATTATGATTGAATCATGTATACGATGATGTTTGGATATTTAATCACTGTCCGTTGGTATTCCGATCATTTCATTTGATAAGATCCATGTTTTTATATGGTGAATAGATGACTAATCAACCTCTTTAAATGTATTTTAGTATGTGTGTTGTAATCTTAACTTCTTATTTATAAACTAGCAATGTTTTTTTTTTGTGTGTGAACGAATACATTTATGATATGATATTTTATTAATATTTTTTATTTCGATTTGCCATGACTGTCATTAATTTTGTAATGATTGTAGTTTTATTGTATTTATGTTCCGGTTTACTTCATTTCTTGATTCCATTTTCTTTTCTCCGAAGTTTATTGTCTAACAGTTTTCTTGTAGTATATAATTTATTTATCATATGATTTTACAGTCTTTCTACTAAATCTTATTTTATACTGATTTCGATAGACTATTTAATGTACTCATACTGAATCCTCCTCAGTCATAATTATCTTATCGGACAACATTAGTGCAATGTAGAATGGAAAACCGAGTGATATTTATTTTTTATATTGAAAATATCGTTGTTTCAATACATTGATTGGAAATTTTGAAATTTATTGTTAATAAAAACGTCGACTATTCTTGTTATTGTGTTCATTTGTAAATTATGCGTTGATGTAGTCGAATTATTCTCTGCATTGTCATTTAAACTTTATATAGAATCTTAACTTGATCAAATTCTTTAGTTTAAATAGATTAGCTGAAGTATTAGAATACTAACTATTCGTCTGTGCAAATGATCATATTGCCTTGACTGGTTTACATTTTCGTATAAATATTCATGTATATTAGAGTAAAGTCCGATGACGATCTAATTGAAAACATTTGTTCGCTTATATGTGTTGTTCTAATGATCATTTTGTTAGTGGATCTCTTTCTTGTTGTTTGAAAATGGGAACAATTGTCAGTCACACATGTGGAAGTGAGATTTGTGTGTGAACTAGATTATCTCGGATATTTTTAGAGGTATGAGAGTGGTTATCACTTTCTGGTTGGCCACACCGTGGTACCTAAAGAAATTGGATTACAGACTATCCTGAATACCTGAGGCTAGTAGTTAACTGTTTGCGGCCTGTAGCATACGGCTTTTTTCTGTTTAGTTTCGTTTATGTTGGATCCGTATATTTAAGGCTTTATCGCTGGGCATTCAAATCCTTAGGGATCGTCAAGGTGTGAAATTTTATGGTAAACCTTCTATTACTTCTTGCTTCTGTCATGGAAATGATACTTCACTACAGATGCTGGTTGTTCGACGGAACCTTACTGTTAATAAATCCCTGTCAAGTCAGCAGTACGTCTTCAAACCAGGATTTTTTCACTTTTAGTCTTACCGACCTTGAGATGGTAAGACGTAGATGAACGAGTTCAAGGTCGATCATCGCTTCACGGTAGCACCTAGCCTAATGTTTTTAACTTTAATTGGATATTTATTACTCTAAACCGTTATTTATGTACATTAGATTCTGGTCTACACTGATTTTAAGCTTCATCAATAGTTTTATTGCTTAATTTTTACGGAATTGATAGATAGAAATTAGTGTTATCCCATTTATATAAATTTTGTTGCTTTCCTCAAGTTAATATCTCCTAATTTTATTTATTGAATTGTCTATTATTAAAGTTTTACAGTAAAATTGATTTCATCAAAAGTTAATGAGTGTATGTCTTCCATTGATTTTTAGCCTAATATTTTATGATGTAGTCCAGTATAAGTTATTAAGTTGTATAAATATAAATTTTCTAGGGTCTCATTCAGCACAAGACAAGACCGTTGATGGTGATAATAATAACAATACAGTAGATTACAGAATGAAAGGATTTATCAATTAGCGTGTTTTAACTATTTTCTATTCTAATATTATTACTTTTTCTTAATGAACATAAAGTCATATTTTAAGATTTTGTACAATGGCACAGACATTCCGTAGTCTTTCATATATGTACTAAATAAAACACGTGATCC